ATAAATGACAGGGAAACTGGGAACCGTTTTTAGGGGGGTTGCAGGGACCTACTAATTAGGAATGGCTTAGCAGCAAGTACGCATTAGTTAGAACATGCCTACTGTGTGCCAAACTTCTTCAGGATAGCTCCTCCCACCTGTAGGGGAAAAACACCTAGCGGTTAAGCCTTGGGCAAGTTTTTCCCTAAGCCCCCGCTTCCTCGGTTCTCAAGTGGGGGTCCTGGTATTGTTGGGTGGACAGCTCATTTTGCTCTACCCTTTTAGGTCGACCTGATACAGCAGTGAGGTTTACAGCCGTCCCTACCTTGGAGAGACAATCCCTTCCCCTCTAAGTTTAGCAAACTTAGATTAATATTTTTAACGTTTTGCTTTTTTCTCCTTGCACACCAAGGACAAAGTGAAACAGTGCTAGTCCGTGACAGCGACAGTGACCTATAGAGGACAGTCACTGTGTGTGGGTTCTCTCTCACCCACACATAAAATTGCACCGTCCCTCGGGAGCAGGGACTCACGATGGGCTTTACTTAACAAAGGGAAAACAAAGTTTCTAAGGCCACAAGCGGCTGGCTATCTCCCCACAGCTAGTGTCCACAGGCCAGGAGTCCAAAACAAAAGGCCACTCACCCAAGATGGCGCTGTGCCGTCACCCGCCCAGGAGACTCCGCAAGTGCGCACACTCGCACCGGGAGGCAGAGCCGCGCCACCCGCGGCAGCGAGCAGCTCTCAGAGGTGACCTGGACACGGAGTGCTGGGCAGGACCGGCCAGCAGTGCCAGTCACCAGGAGGCGGTGTCGGAGATACCGAGTGTTAGCCGCCTTGTGAGTTGTTGGGTTGCTGGTTGACGCCAACAGCCGACCAGTCTTGGACACCAGGCCCAGCCGCCCCTGCTCCGTTCAGGTGTTGTCAGAGTTCCGCTGGGGGCAAGTGTGGCCGCCCAGTCTCGGGAAAGCCTCTGCAAAGCCTTTTGCCTTCTCTTCTTTTTTCCAGCAGTCAGCTGCTGCCCTTCTCCAGAGGCCAGGAACAGTGTGCTTAAGGGGCGCCGGCCCCCCCTTACGTCCTCTTTCAGGGTTCCCGCACACGCCTGCCTGACTGCACCATTTTCAATTGAGCAACTGATTGGACCATTTAGGACAATCAGCTCATTCTTGATTTTCCACCTGACCATTAACTAACGCGCTCACAAAACACGACTCTTTCATTTTGATCAGTCCATTCTGCGGTCCAGGTGCCAAATATAAAAAGCACCTGCACAGACCCCACCTGCCCTGAGCTCAGGGCAGGCTTATGGGCTGGTGGGCTCTGAAGAGCCACAGCCAGAGTGGGCCTCAGGGGGGCTGCAGGCTCTCTGCACCCAGAGGCCTTCAGTGGGCCAGTGTGACAATGTAAGTGGGGGGAGAAGGCTGTAGCAGCGCTGCAGGGGAGCTCGGCTAGGAGCCTGCCACTCTGGCCCAGGCTCCGCGGGCCTCTCTACTGCCTGCAGCTGGCCCAGTGGCCTCGGGCCCGCCCTGAACCTGGGGCTGCCAGAGTAGCTGTTCCTAAGATGGCGGAGCTTGCTCCGACTCAGCGGGCGCCTCTGTCCCATGTGGCCGCACGCCCTGGATCTCCCAGTGGTGGAACCACGGCTGCCCTGTCTCTGCAGCCCGAGCCCGAACCCCTTGCTCTGCCTGCACTGCCTGTAGCCAGCTTCTGGAGCCTGGTGCGAGAGCCCGAGGGGGCACACGAGCTACTGGGCTTCCTGTGCTGCCCAGAGGCGCCAGGTCTCAAGCTGGGCTGGTGCTTGGGTGCTTGGAGAAAGGCTGCCAATAGGCAGCATGCTCTGGGGGTGCAGGCAGGAACCCCCAACTCCTACCACAGCCATCGCCACTTGTGCCCCAGAGCTCACACAAGCCCCTGGAACAGCAGGGCCAGAGAGGCAACCATTGCTCGGCCTGCAGGCGCTGCCGCCCTGGTGCTTTCACTGGCCATATCTGGAGGAAGCCGGACTACCGCCCCCAGAAACTTCAAAAGCTAGGACAGGCCCTCCCTGGTGGCACAGCGGGTTAAAGCCCAGCACTGTAAAGCTGGCCACAGCCATCTCAGTGTGAGTTCGATCCCCGCCCAGGAGCTGACCCACACCCCGCACGGCACAGCAGACTTCTCTGGTCTCCCCGCTGCTCCCCTCAGCAGTGTACTTCGTCAATTTGCCTGTTCTGCTCCCCACTTGGTCTCTGGTGAACCCTTTCACCCCCCACCTCTGGCCTGTACCCCAGCTCATAAGTGCATACATAAATAAGTAACAAATCTTTAAAATAAATAAGTAGCATGTCGCTTGCTTCCCTGCCAAGGCCCCAACAGCCCCTCCATCAACAGGCGCCATTCCGAGTCATACAAATGAGAATCTTCTTCCAGAGTTAGACAGCCAGGTCCTTAAAATTAGCCCCACATTTCTGAAAACAGGTCCCAGAGAAGTAGCTGAACTGATAATGGCCGTCAGGTGGGGGCGCTGCGCCAGACAAGGAGTTTGCTGGCCCAGCCCTGAGCCTTAACTAAGGCGCCTGGTGGGAAAAGCTAGGGAGCACAGCTGCGCTTTGCCAACCCCCCAGAAGAGACTAGAAGAGCAAACACATGACACCAGATGGGAGCCGATGCCGGACGGCCTGTCCCGGAGCACGCACCCTCCCCAGGCCCCTGCTTTCCACCTGCCGCCACGGCACCGTGTGCCCACAGCGTCCTCTCCCACCTGTCCTGCCTCACTCCTGCTCCTCACCTGCCGACTTCAGACACATTCTTCCTCCAGGAAGCCCCCAGGGCCTCCACAGGCTGGGTCAGATACACCCCCCCCCACTCCTCCGCCCCAGTCTTGGTCACTCTATTAAAGTAGGGGGGCAGGAGAGGAGGACCCCTCGAAACCAATAGACTGACACTGAGTACCCCCCTATCCTGTGCCGGGCCCTGTGCCATGCGGGCTGCTGTTCCTGCCTGGAGTCCTTTCCCACTCTTCTCCCCCAGCTCTTCCTCCCAGCCACTCCCGGTCCTTCCTCCAGACACCAGCCCGAACTAGTCAGGCAACCTGTGTAACAAGTGACCTGGAAGCATGAAGAACAACAACATGGATTATCTCCAACGCAGCAGCTGAAGTCATTTCAACATCATCTGCCAGCTCATCTGGCAAATGATTCACGACCCCCGGCGACGCTCTCCAGGTGCTGCCTGGCGGGACTCATTTCCTGTCTGACTGCAGGCGGGGGAGCCAGCTTCAGGCCCACCAGGTGGGCATCTCTGAGGCTAACTGGCTTCCTCCTGGCCAGGAAGCAAGAAGAACCAGAACAAGATTCAACCATGGCAGTCACTGTCCTGTATAGCCTGACGTCGGGTCAGTCCCTTGCTTTGCTGTCTTCCATGTTTGAGAACTCACCCCCCCCCCAATCTAGCCCATCCTCAAGCAAGGGGTTATGCCAGGGTGGACGCCAGGCAGCAGAGATGATTGGGGGTCACTTATACAACCAGCTCCAGCCTCCTCTTTAGTCTCTGCTGTCTGGAAGTTTCTTCTTCCAGATGGCTTCCTCCCTTCACGCCCTTGCTCTGTCCGCCGAGGTCCCTTCCTGAGAGCCCTTCCCTCGCCACCTTACTTAAACTGCAGGACTCCCTGTGCAGGCTGAACAGTGGCCCCCAGAGATCTCCAGGCCCTGCTGCTGCCAGCTGGGACGTTCCCTTCTTATGGCAACAGTGTGGTGAAGTTAAAATCTTGAGATAAGCAGGTGCAGTGGGCAGAAGGACAGAAACAGGCACTGTTCCAGGAAGCGTCCAGGAAGCATCACCCAGGCGGAGGCCTTGACTGTGCAGGAAGGGATTTTGAGCCAGGAATGCAAGGAATGTGGTCCCAGAGCTGGAGAGGCAAAGAAACAGATTTTCCGTGGAGCCTCCAGAGGGCACATAGCCCAGGCTTACAGAGACACGGTGACTTCAGCCCGGTGAAACTCACTGTGGCCTTCAGGCCGCCCGAACTGTAGAACACAGCAACGTGGTATTTGAAGACGTTTCAGTGACAGAACACAAAGAGGGTGGCGTGGCAACAGCCCACAGACGTGGCTCTGGCACCTGTCTGTCGTTACACTGGACGACCGTGAAGTCGCTAACGACGATGGCGCAGCAGGTGTCGGTGCTGTTAAGCCACGTGACACTGTAATATGTTTAAGCCACTGAGCCTTGGCCAGTTGTCATAGCGGTGGGACGTCACGTAGCCTCCCAGCCTGGCCCAAAGGCCCATGTTCCTCTTTCACTTTTCCCATCTTCACAGTCACCGTCTGCTACGATAGGTTTTTTGCTCTTCCTTCTTATCCAACTTGCACCCCAACTTACAAAGCAAAGAGACTTGACTCCCAAGTGAGACTTATATTCTCAGCCCAGTCAAATTATAATGAAGTGTGCGTGTGTGTGTGTGTGGGGGGGTACTATGGAGATATATTTAGCTGTGCCAGGACTCAAAAGTATTTACCTCCTCTTCACCCTTTAAAGGGGACAATGGAGAGTACAAGATGGTGCAAGAGGGTGCAAGAGGAAGCCTCCAACAAGGGAACAGGCATTGAGCCAGGAAATAATATCCAGCCTGAGGAGCCCCAGGCATCGGCCTAGAGAGTAGCAAGTCCAGATACCAGTACAAGAAAAAAACACTGGGGGCCTCCCTGGTGGCCTAGGGGCTGAGACTTAGCACTTCACCACTGTGGCCTGATTCCATCCCCGGCCAGGGAGTGACCCACAGGGCGAAGCAGACTCTCCTGTGTCCCCGCTGCTCCCCTCACCAGTGTGTTTCAATAGATCTGCCTGTCCTGCTCCCCACTGAAACTCTGATGAATCCTCTCAGCCCCCACACCTCTGGTATGCACCCCAGTTCTTCCACACACAAAAGAACCAAAACATTGGTGCACACTGTCAGGTGAACAGAAGACCAAGGGAACATTTGAAAAATATTAAATGTAAGTGCATAGCCAATGACAAAGGTAATTATTCATTCTAAAAAATGTTAGTTTGCATGTGAGACAATATCGGTACATCACATTGTAAAAAACATTCACATAGTCACGCATCTGCACCATCCAAGACCGTAGCCACTTGTCGCCTCCTCCACTGTAAAAATGATTGATGACTATAAAATTATGTGACTTCCCCGGTTGGGGACTGGGCCCCACACCCACTGTTCCAGGAAAGCATAGCGCGTGCCTAAAACAGACCAGTTGAGGACTAGCAATGTCAACATATTCTTTAGAAACATGGTACTACCACAACTAAAAATAAATTTACAAAGAAAACCTGGAAGAAAATGCCAGAAGCAATTAAAAGAGGAGGTCTCTGAAAGCAGACAGGGTGGGGGGAAGGGAGGAGGCACTGAGATTGTTTTTTTCCCATGATCAAGATAAAATACCATTATGGTTTTTAAAGTATACTCATTAAATCACACAACAATAAAAAATTGAAAACAAAAGAAAATCAAGTATATTCATGAAAACGGATCAAAAGTGGTCACAGTCAGAGCTGTAGTTGCCCTTTACGGAGGCAGAAGGCTGGGCAGAGGCATGGTGGAGCTTCTGGAAGATGCTGATGGGTGTCAGCTCCGGCCCACAGGACTTTCGGGGTGACAGACCAGCCTCTGACTCCACCACTCTTGAAACGGAGCCATTGTGACTGAAGAAATGAACTCTTGATTTTTATTTAAATGTAAAAGTCGATAGTCACGAGATGTGGGTGGCTACTGTACTGGGCACCTCGGCCAAGATGCTGCTGTTCTTTATGATTTGTCAAAGGACAGAGGCAGAAGGGTGCTTTGTCAAGATCTGCCGGGGCTGACGACAAAGAGGCTGGGCGGAAGCGAAGGAAAGTCACACCTCAGGGTCCTGAGAGGCTGCCGGGCTTCCAGAAAGTCCTGAGGGAGCAAGCTCAAGCCTCCCTGTCCCCCACCTGGGGGCTACACCCCTGCGCCCCACCTCAGATAACAAGATTATCAGAGTGCATTTTAAGACACTTAAACAAATAAACAAAGACTCCAAAATGTGAACAAAAGATCAAGGTGCTTAAAAAGCAGCATCACCCGAGGAGGCCAATCGGGAGAGTGGAAGAGCAGCTGGGATTAGCAGGGCCCTTACTAGTGTTTTGCCAAAACCAGTAGCCACAGGGACACCTTATTAAGTGGGGACAGAATCCAAGGAGAAGGACGCCAAATCCTGTGCAAACTACCTTTATTTATAAAGAAAAATCATCTTGTTATAAAATTAGCCCTGTGTGAAGGTGCGTAATTGGAGAGGGGGGCAGGGACCCTCAGGAAACCCTCAGCTCCGTGTCCAGGCTGCTGGAAGAGATGGGGGCAGAGGAGACCTCCAGAGAAATCCAGTGGAGGTGACCCATCTGATGCTCCGCCGGGATGGAGGGTGACCTGCGTTGTGGGGCGGGGTCTGGAGAGGGTTCCCAGTAGGAGGCACTTTGGACAGGATCTTATTTGGCAAATGGGGGTGTCTCCTGACTCTGAGGACCTCCCCACAGCTAAGGCAGATTTCTAAACTTAAGGCTGGGGGTTCTCTTTCTACCCTGGTTTCCAGGGGAGCAGAGAGCTGGTGGCCAGGACCCCGCCCCTGCAGGGCTTGGGGTGCAGGGGATGCAGCCGTCTCTGGAACACCTGGGCACAGGCAGGGCTGCTCCTCCTGTCTCCCGTGGAGAGGCGCCTCTCTCCAGCTAGACCTTACTCCTCTGAGGCTTCACCCTGGGGAAGAGCTGAGGGAAGGCAGGAGCTTCAGATACTGGGGGCGCCCATCCTCTCACTCCACCCCCCCCCAATTTCATGGAGACACCTAATCCCTCTACCACATGTCTCCACTCTCCCATCCCTGCCCAATGGATTCTCAGTCTCTCCCAAAACACCCAGAACCCCCAAGTCCCATCACCTCCAAGCACCAGGTGGGGCTGGGTGGACCAACTGGAATATTCCAGTGCCTGTCCTACCAGTATGCCTCCTCTCCCTCGCACCTCGACTGTCCCCAGACTAAGACAATCCTCTCCCAGGAACAAAAGTGAGTCCTCCTGGTCTCCCCTACCCCAGCAGAGCCTCCCTCAATCTACCACCATTTTATTAAAGAACCTTCCTCCTGCCCAATGGTGTAACAGAAGCTGCTCCCCACCAGCCTGCGCTGATTCATGAGCCCACCCCCCTCACTCACCAAATGGGATCCTCCCTTGCCCTCCAGTCTGAACTTGACTCCCCCTTGACAGCCCCCCACCAATGTCATCTGGGCCTCTGAGCCAATCACATAGTGGTAAAGCAGCTGTGATGAGCACCCACAAGGTACCCCCTTACCTCACCTCCCCATCGGAGGCTTTTGGTCCAACCCCCCATATAACGGCCTCTTCTCCACCCCGCCTTTATTCTTTAGGGTTGGTTCCTTTCCCCCCAGGGGAGGCATGCACCCTCTGGCTCACCCCGAAGTAGTTTCGGGGCACGTAGCCCTCCTGGCCGTGCAGCGTGGCCCACCACCAGTCGGTCTCCTCCGGCCCGTCCCGCCGCAGCACGGTCACCGACTCGCCCTCGCGGAAGGACAGCTCGTCGCCGAACTCGGCGCTGTAGTCCCAGAGCGCGTACACCACCCCGCCGTGCATCAGGCCCATGCTCTGCTCCACGTCTGCAACGAGCCAGGCGCGCGCGTGACCGCCGGCCGGGGCGGGGCAGGGTGCCGGGATTTGGCTGGACCCCTCCTGCGGTGGCCCGCCCGGGATGGTCATCTCCGACAGCGAGTCCTGGGGCCCGCGGGGCTGACCGGGGCTGACCGACGTTACATCACTGCCCCCGTTCTCACGGTGACGTGCCAGCGTCACGCACGGGGCACAGCGTCGGAGCCTCCCCTGAGAGGTTCGTTTATAGAGCACCAACCCCTCGGGAGGTCCAGCCTGCGGCCTCCTCCCCCGGCCCCGTGGAGCATCCCAGGTGGTACAGTTGCCGGAGAGGAGGCCACGGCTTCCCCAGGGCTCACGCCTCTGCCTCCCCACCTTCAAGAGTACAATTTCCACGAGGATTCAGCCCCCTGTCCAAAGCAACAGTCCACCTGGCTCCCACCTCTCTCTCGGCTCAGTCCCCCTGTTCTAGCCTCTTCTCTGCGGGAGAGGGGCGCTGTCTGAACTCCACCCTTGCAGGAGCCAGCGCAGAGGCGGCAGGTGGGCCTGCCTGTGCGAGGCTTCCCCGCCCAACCCCCTCCCCGCAGCGCCGGCCCTCCCCCCGGGACTCCAGGCTGCTCACCTGTGAGGCAGGTGTTCCAGGCCGGGGGCTCTCACCTACCCACCTTCGTGGCACCGCGGGCTGGAGTGAAGCCCCTCTGAACTCCAAGCACATCGTTCCCCACCACCACCACTACCGGGACCCCAAGGCGGGCTCTGCAGCTCTCGCTCCCCAGCTGTGGGCGGGCCCTGCCACGCTCCGCCCCCCGCCAGCCCACCTGTTTCTCCCTCTCCTGGTGGGGCCTGAGGCCGCCGCCTGGCGATGCAGGGTACAGCCTCCAGGAGCAGGACAGCCTCTAGCCACCCCCAGTGGCCTCTCTCGCTACCTGTCCCCCCACCCCGCCCCAGCACAGCCCACCTGGCCAGCCTCATGCAGGTAGAGGAGACAGTTGGACAGTCCAACTGACCACACGGGCCTGAAGCCACTTTCCCCTCACAGGTGTCCAGCCTGCAGGCACCCTGCCCATGTTGCCCCTCCCTCCGAGGTGGCATGGGGTGCTCCCCACACCTGCTGGCACCTGCCAGGTAGGAGACCCAGGCGCTGGTGCCCCTTCCCTGCGATCCTGCCACGCGGCTGCTACAGCCCTCACCTCCTCTCCACGGAGAGTAGCAGTCTGCAGCCTCCCCACTCTCAACTGGGGTGATCCAGTCTCCACGACCCCCCAGAGGCAGCCCTGCCCGCTCGCACCTGCCAGGTAGGTGGCGCAGTCATTGTAACCCTCGCGGTAGGGGTCGCACTTCTCGATGGCGGTGGCACCGTCACTGATGGTGGTGGCGAAGATGGCCGCGCCGTGCTGCACCAGGGCGGTGCAGATGGCTGTGTCGTTGCACGACGCTGCACAGTGCAGCGGGGTCCTAGGGGCGGACACGAGATGAGTGACGGGCTCGCCCGCAGGGCGCGCCTCCGCCCGGTGCCCACCCGCGCGCCGGGCACTCACCAGCCATGGCTGTCGGGGGAGTTGACGTTGGCGCCTGCCGCGATGAGGAAGTCCACGATGGGGTAGTTGGCACCACAGATGGCGTTGTGCAGGGCGGTGATGCCCTCCTCGTTGGGCTGGCTCGGGTCGTTCATCTGGGCCGGTAGGGGGTCCAGGGGCTCAGTCCCAGGCCGCA